GTCCAAGACATACGGTCGCAGATCCGATGAAACGATGACAAAATCGATCATCGAACTGCGGCCTATACATTAAATTCCAGTGAAATATATTTATGTTTGTGGTTGTAATGTGACAAAATATGGAAAAGTTCAAGGGGTATGAATACTTTTGCAAACCACTGTATCTACTGGTTTTGGTTCATTACAAACAGGAGTAATATTACGACTGTAGAGTTAACTCTGTTTCTGCTGACTGTAGTTACATTTTCTTTTTTTCTTTTTCAGGATTTTCTGGACAAGAAGGAGCAAAAGGATCGAGAGGTAATTTACTCAGTCAAAGCAGAAAATAAAATAAAATAAAGAAAACAAAACCTTAGTTTACTTCTGAACAATGGTCAGATCTGTAGCGATTCATGCCTTTACTTTTGGACCTCAGGTGACCAAGGACCTTCTGGGCCTCCAGGACTCAGAGGTCCTGTTGGACCTCCTGGAGAGGCTGGACTTCCAGGTGACATTGTTGATCCATTGTTATTTTACCAACCTTATTTTTGTTACAATTAAATAATAAAACATTTATATTACCCCGTATAGGAACCATTGGGCTTCAAGGACCACCAGGTAGACCTCTTTTATTGATGCAGCACTTAGAGAAGAATCCAGCTGTCTTACTGATTCAGTTTTTCTTGTTTTAATATCATCTACACTGATTCTGTTCTCTKCTCATTAGGAATACCAGGGAATCCAGGCCAACCTGGGGTCAAAGGTAAAACCGCTGTGAATATGTTGAAAAAAAAAATCGTTTTTACTTTGTTGTTTGAAGTTCAGTATCTGACCCGTGTCTCTGTGTTTCAGGTGAACCCGGTGTACCAGGGAGAATCATCAATGCAGGTCAGCCAACGTCAGAAAACTGCAGTTTCATTGCGGTTTTGATCCCCGTAATGTTTGAGGATCTGATGGTCTCTTGTCTGCTCCAGCTGGCTCCACCTCTGTTGGCATCCCAGGGCCGCCTGGGCCTGCTGGTCCCCCTGGGCCTGCTGGACCTCCAGGATTATCAGGTCTTATTTTTGACACTTTCCTTAAATCGGGTTACCACTCTCTTCGTTTAAAARACAGTAAAACTAAAGTACTGTATCCAGTTTTAAACTACAATTTTTATACARTGACTTCCTCAGGTCCCATTGGCCCTGCTGGTCTTCCTGGCTCACCTGGTACGTTACTACGTTGTTTAGTTACAAAACTGCTTTATAGTTTTTGATAATAAGCATTTAACAGTTGTTGTGTTTTGTCATCAGGTCCTAAAGGAGACAGAGGATACAAGGGAGACCAAGGAGAACCTGGAATAGCAGTCAGGACCAGTCAAAGTATATCCTCCTCTACAGCAGAGAGTATGTTTTTCATGGCTTTCTTTGATAAATGCTGTTGTTTTGCCACTTCAGTAGAAAACCAAACTGAATGTTAGTTTCTTAATTTCTGCATCATCTGTGGCTATATATATATATATTATAGTAAGAATGAAAAAGTAGAAGAGAAATATAAGAGCAGTAAAGAGAGAAACCGATAGAAATTATACATCATGTGAAATGAACACCAATAACACAACAGGACACCACACCCGACATTTGACCATCACACACAAATGCTGTTTTGTTTTCTCTCTCCTGCCTGACACAGTTTGATGCCAAAGAAACTCATAGCAAAACTGGGCTTAAAAGCAGTAATAATAAACTTGTAGAAAGTAATTGTTGAATGTACATCTGTTGGAGTTAGTTTGTTTCAGGGCTCTTCATTTAAAGTTGTGCTTTTTTTCTGTTTTAGGACAGCACAGCTCCAGTGCACACTCAGAACTGCGTGGCCCACCGGGTCCACCTGGGCCTCCTGGACGTCCAGGTAAGTCTGACTCCACCCTCTCCTTCAAAACAGACTTAGATAAAAATAAATGTTATCTGAGTTGTTTGTCAACAACAGGAATCACTCAGTCATGTTGAGTCAGATCATTTAAAACTACAGTATCTTGCTGTGTGTTTCTGTGTTCATTAGGCGATTCAAGACAGGGCCCCCCAGGACCACCTGGGCCTCCAGGCCAGCCAGGCAAGTTTCTGTCACATAAATTCACACTGTAGCTATTTATGTCACACTTACCCACTGAATTTGGGCTCTGTAGGTTATGGAAGTCTTGGACCTAAAGGAGAAAAGGGAGACGCAGGTTTTTCGTCCAGCTCTGGTATGATTCAGAATATAAACTTCTGTTTTGTCTTTTTTTTTTTTTTTTTGGTTTGAAGAAAAATGGTGACGGGACTGAGGTCAGCTCTGCTCTTCTTACAGGAACATTTTATACTGGACCACCAGGACCTCCTGGGCTTCCTGGGTCTAAAGGATCAACAGGTGATCAGATTGTGCAAAGTTGCTGGYTCCATCACTACGAGCTGCTCTTTGTGTTTTGTTAATTTGTATTGGCATCTGGATTATTATTGCAGGTTCTCCTGGACCACGTGGATACCCAGGTATTTTACTTATTTCCTTTTTTTTTTTTTTTAAATCACCATTTTTTTTAAATTTCATGTTTTGGACTGAGGCAAGCTCTGGCAAAAAATACGTGAACACTGTTCTTGGAGGATGTTCTTTCAATTGTTTAGTTTTATTAATTTAGTTTGAAAAATAAAAAACAGACATGCTACAAAACTATCATTTTTCAACATTCCAACTTTCTGGCTTTAATATATAATAAGTAAAAAAGACAAAATATGATTGCTGAAGTCCATCTGAAAAAAAATATGGAAGCACTCAAACTTAGGAAAAAAAACTTGACTAATGAGAAAAACTCTGCGTCATTACTACTTTGTTTCACCACCTCTGGCTTTTATAACAACTTGAATTCTCTGAGGCATGGATCTAACTAATGACAAACAGTACTTCTCATCAATCTGGCTCCAACTGTCTCTTATTGCTGCTGCCAGATCAGCTTTGTAGGTTGGAATCTTGTCATTGACCATTTTCTTCAATTCCCTCCAGAGATTTTCAACTGGGTTGAGATAAATACTATTCGCAAGCCYTGCCATTGACATTATTTGTCTTTCCTGAGGAAATTGTTGTCATTTGTCTTATGGCAAGTTGCATCTTGAAAACAGTGAAAACCTTTTTATCCTCCAGTAATTTTGAATGATTATATTTTTGTTTTGTGAGCAACAATTTAGTCAAAAACCATTGGGCCTCATGCAAGAACCGTTCGTACAAACAGATTTGTACTTAAGTACGAGTTATTTAGGATAATTTGTGGCATTCACCAATTTTCTCGTATTTTAAAATTTGGGGGGTGGGTTGCGTCGCGTAACTACTCTTCTTGTGAATAAATGAAAATTATGTAATACAGTTGTTAACAATTAAATTAAAAATATTTGACCAAAGGAAAAGCAGAGCAGGACTAAAGAGAGATGAATATGATTTAGATTTTTATTTCTGTGACTGTATACGACCCACAGGAGAAACAACATTAACAGCAGTCGTCATTACATTCCTCGGCTTTAAAGCAGCTCCTTCAATTCCACAGCTGACGCTGCTWAAAATGACAGATTTTCTTTTCTGGATCTGTGAGAGCAGGAAATCAATCTCCGAACTCGTAAAGTTCTTCTTTTTACTTTGTGATGTCATTTATGAATGGACACTTCCTGGTATCTGAGGAAGGAAATGTAGCCTTATATGGTGTTTTTGGGGTGGTAATTATGCTAATCTGCTCTCCTCGTGCGTGAGCACCTGATACGCATTCATCAGTTTACGCAGCTCATTTACACACTTTTCCTGAAGATAGAAGAGTTTGTTGAATTTGTCGTGATATGTTCGTAAGAACCCTTCGTACGAACAAAAGTAAGAGAAATTTAGGATAAAAATACGAACATGTTCTTGCATGAAGCCCAGTGTTCTTAAGTGTACTATATATAAACATTTGATTAAAATTGCATTTACATGACTACATCACAATATTCTTGGTATTTATTCCTGTTTGAATCACTGTTTCACATGTTTCAGGTGACCCAGGCTCACCAGGTGTGCCTGGGACTCCAGGAAGACCGGGATTCGCTGAGGGAGGTGAGCCCTTCTTTTAAACCAATGCTTTATGCCACACAAACAAATTTTTGATAAGTTTGAGTATTCATTCCTAATGTGTTGAACTATGAAGGAAATGTGATCGCTGGACCACCAGGTCCACCAGGACCTCCTGGACGACCAGGACTACCTGGAGTCAAAGGTAAACCCGGCATCCTGCTGAAAGCAGCTCAGAGTTTTATTGACTGCAATCCAGTTTAGAAACTTGCCTGTGTGTCACTTCATCATCAGACTGTTTG